TTGTTGTTGAAATCCTATTAGTGGTTCACTAATAATATATTAGTAGCAATTACTGGTTTTAGTTTATAGAAGAATCAAACATTTTGCTTACAAATGGTAAGACGCTAATTGATCGGCAGGTTATCTTAATTTTCTTGTAGCTTTCCAAAGTTAGTAATCAGCTGATTTCGTTGCTGTCAGTGCCTAGATATATTCCTCAACTAGTCATTTTGTAGATAGTCTCTCTTCTCTTTATTTTGTTCAGTCTCTTGTGTATACAATATTTTCATAAAAATAAATTTGGTGTTAAAAAATCAGAATTTATGAGAAATAAAACCCATTTTTTATTTATTGTTATTGGTTTAATTATCATTTATTTATTTTATAGTTCTCTATTATATTCCCTTTATTAATTGTTTTAGTTCTTTTCTAACAGATTTAATAAAATGTCATGTTTTTCTGCTGTTACTACAGGTAAGTGAGTATTAATTGAATGTTCATTGAAGTACTTTCTATAAATAATAGCTTAAGATATTTGAACTTTTATCTTGCATATTTCAAAAACATTTTTTTAATTTTATTTATATTTGCTGCTATTTATTGTATTAAATCCCTTTTAATCATTTTCAATGAAGTTTAATGAATTTTTCTTCTATGGTTTATGGTTTTTAAAGTTTATTTATTTTTTAAAAATTGTTTACTAAAATCGAAACATTTTATAAATTTATTTAAAAATCATAAAATTATTTTTAAAAATTAAAGATTCATAGAGAAAGTTTGATTAGACAAATATATTTTAATAAGATAAATAAAATAAGAATATATTTGCTTTAAACTTTTGAAAACAATATAAAGAATTACTTGCTTTATATAAATATTTAGATTGTGTATATATTAACATTTGCTTTTAGTTTATTATTAAAATTATATACTTCAATGATTATAACAATAATAACTTTAATATATATTATAATTGCTCGTTAATGTATACAAATATTATTATTTAGTGATATTATTTGTATGATTATGATAGTTTATTTTATATTTTTTAATTAAAATCATCATTTTAATTTAAAAATGAATTGAATTCACAGTAGTTTTTGCTAAATTTAATAATAATTATAATATATAAATATAATATTTTAAATATACATATTATTGTATAGTCTGAAATTAAAATGTATAATTTACACAAATATTATGCATTGTTATTCCATGCTTTTTATGCAATTGTTAGTTATATTATTTATGAATTTTCATTTTAATTTTTTCAAATTATATTTAAATTTGTTTTTTATTAAATAAATTTATATCTAATATATAGTTTCACATTTAGTAAAAATTTTAATATTTCAGTTTTAACAATTAAAGTTAGACATTTAGAGTGAAAATATTAATTAACAATAATTTTATTACTCGTATATTAAAAGTTAAACATTAACATATATTTATATATAAATATTTTTAATTTTTAACATAATATCTGATATAAGAAAATGCAGAATTTTTTTTTAGAATTTATTGTTTAATAAATGTTGAGCGTAAGAGTAATATTATTTTAAAATCATTATTAATTATAAGAAAGTAATTTTTTTAGTAAATAGATAATAATTATAAAATAATCGAGCAATAGTTCTAAAAAATGAAAATGATAAATTCTAACAAATATAAAATTATATACATTAATTTAATAAAGCATTAATTTAATTTAATAATACAGCTTAAAAAATTTGAATTAATTTATTTTTGAAATTTCTCGCATTATTATTTAAAAACAAAAAATAATAATTAATAATAATATTAACTTAATAAACATGAGTATAGCTACTACAAAAATATTTGTGATTTAACAAATATTAAACATTTATGCAGAAATTCAAATTTTATATAATGAAAAACAAAATATAATCTAAATTAAAAATTTAACAAATAATATTTATCATTTTAATAATATCATTTAAATATATATAAAATAGCAAATTGCAAATTAAATGAATATTATTATACTATAGTTAGAGATATTATTAAGTAATATAACATTAAAAATTAAATATGATATTTTAAAGAAATAGGATAAATGAATTATAAGTTGTGCTTCTGATACATTAAGTGTTTAAGATTGTGTCATTATCAGTAAAAAAAAACAAATGCATTAATAAAACTATCAATTAAAAATATTTTATAAATTAATATAAAAAATTGAATTATGAATTATTTATTTAATAAAATATATAATAAAGCTATAAACAAAAGAATAAATGTAAAAAAAGTAACATAATAAATACAACTATAATAATAATATATAAAAATAATATAATAAATTATAATAATAGTCATTTTATAAAATGAAAATCATATATTTGAAATATCTATATGTATAATAACACAAATATATGAATATAGGTTCAAATAGTTATCATATAAAAAAAACTAATTATAACATCATGTAGCACAAAAAAATATGTTTCTGCTGCACCAGCGTTTCGAAACGGATCTTGGCCTATTTATAAATTGTTTTCAAGATTCTCAATCTTCTAAAATATATAGACACAATAAAGTTATGCACATTTAAAATCAAGAAATTATTAAATTTTTGAAGAAGAGTGTATTAATACATAATTAATTTTTTAAAATTAAATTTAGTCAAATTTTCTATTAAATTTAATAGATACTGTTAATTTGGAATTGTTGAAAATCCTAAAGCACGATAAAAAATAAAATTCCATTCTAAATTAATTAATGAATATTTTTTCAAAGAGACATTTTAATAAAGATATTGCTTATAATATCTTACAAGTATCCGTCACTTCCAAATGAGGTAATTAGAAAGTAATTAGTACTTTAATGCACTAACCATTTTTTGGTGCTACACATAAAAATATAATTTTATGTAAATATGTAATTTTTTCATTTATTTTTATTTTATAATTTAATTTTTGCTTTTACGCATATTGCAAAAACATTTTTAATAAATTAATTTTTATTTATTATTTTATAGTAATACAGATTATATTTTGTAATAAAAATTAATTATTGAAATTAAAATAAATTTAAAAAAATAAATTTTAATTTAAATCAAAATAATTTTTTAATAAGGTTATACACATTATATAGGAATCTATAAAGTGAAGAAAAAACTAATTATAAAAAATAAATAAATAAAAATAAATTTTTAATGAAGTTATCCTTATTATTTCTATATAAGTTTATTATGAAAAAAATAACATTTTTTTAAGTTGTTAAATCACTTTTATTAATTATAAAAAATAATAATATGTATATGTGTTTTATAAATGCATAAAAAATTAATATAAAAATAGAAGATATAAAGAAATTTATATAAATAAAAAAATATATTAAGATGTAAAATTATGTATACAAATATATATAAGAAAAAAAAATTAAAGTAGTTACAATAAATTAACTGAGACATGCGCCAAGTAAAACAGCATTACAAAGTTTTAATAACAAAATTTATTTAAATTAATTTAGGTAATTTATTTATTACTTACAAACGCTCTATTATCTTATTTTTTAGTTATATACAGTTTTATGCGACTTTTGTGTAATTGCACAAAAAAAAACAAACAAATTTAAATTTTTTAAATATTTTATTTTATTTTAAATTACAATTAAAATATTGTTACATATTGTTGCGAAAAACTATTATAATTTTTAATCATTGTTTTATTAATATCAACTATTCTCATTTAAAGCAATTACTTTTTTGTTTTAAACTCCATTTATACTATTTTCATATAAATATATTTTTAGTATATATATGTATATATTTATATATATATATTCAACTGTGAGTTTTGTTTTATTGTGTCAACTATTATTTACTGTTGCTAAAACAAAAACAAAATTTAAATATTTAACTTCCACTTAAAATCTTTTTTAAATATATTTAAAATTAGTTTTTACATAGTTTTATATAGTTTTTAATATAATAATTTATATATTTATTTATACACATTACATTCAAATGCATTTAATTTTTAATTATAGTAATAGTAATAATTATAATAATAATAATAATCATAATAATTGTATAATTATAAATATATGTTTTTAATATAAAATAACAAAAATTGTTGTTTTTCCCTTTGAAGCTTTTTTTATCGTTTATTTTTCTCACACTAATTTTATCAAATTTAAATATGTTTATTTATGATTTAATTTTATCCAATTTAAATTAATTTTAATTAATTTTATTTTTTATTTCAAATAATTTGTAACATATTTTGTGTGTTGAACAATCGGTTTTAGTTATAGTTCAAAAAAATTTTTTTTTGTATTTATAAGAAAAAATGATTAGATTTATTTTTTGTTGTAATATTGAAATTAAATAATTACTTTCACTAAAAAAATTTACATAAAATAATATATTAAATAATTTTAATTTTTATGAATTATTATGATTTAAACAAAAAAATTTATGCATTTTACGCAGAATGCCAAATATTTATTTAAACTTGTAAAAGTTTATAAATAATTATTTTACCATATGTTTATTCTTTGAACAAAATTTTTTTCGTTTAAATCTTCCAACAGATGATAATGTTAATAAAAAAGTCCTTATTTGTATATTGTGGTCAATATTCAATATTAATTGTTTCAATAAATTTATTTTTTTTATCCATAAAAACACATAAAAGTAGTTTCTCATAACAGTCATTAAAAAAAAATATTTTTTTAAAGTATTTAGAATAAAAATCCTTTTATATATTTTTCGCAAATAGCTATATGTGTTGTATGTACAAAAAAAAATTTTTTTTTTGACCAATTATTCTGTTTGTACAAATAAGAAAAAACAATTATAATATAATTTAACATATATTAGCTTAAAACATACTTTAATGTATTTTTTATGGAATGGTATATATAAGTAAGAACTTGATTTTAGATTTTTTCATAATTAGAATACAATATTTTTCAATAAATGATTTAGTAATTATTTAATTACTAAATTAATTAAAAATTAATTTAATTTTTGATGAATTACAAATTAACTTAATATTTTATTATAAAAATATGTGAACTAAAAAATTGTAAAAAACCCCTGATCTCATTGATAACCCAGCATAACACGTTTTAAGCTTTTTAAAGTTCTAAATCAAAAATTATATGTGAAGAATCATATAAAAAATTAATTATTTAATTTCAAAATACAACAATTTTTATTTATATATTAAGAATTTTATATTTAATTTTAGAGCAATATTTATTAAAAATTAAATAATTTTGCAAGAGTTTAGTTTAAGAAAATAATATTGAATAAAGTAAAAAATAGAATTTACCGGTAGTGAAGAGAAAGCAAGAAAAAGAAGATAAAAAATATTACGAATTAAAATGGACATAAAGTTAATATAAAGTTACATAAAACTATATTTAAACAATATTGCAAAAAAGCACACAAAAGTATTTAGATATATATGTATATATATTATATTGTATATATATATTTAAATGAATTATAAGAAACAAAGTAGAAAATTGTTATTATAACTTAATAGCCAAACTTAGAAGAAACTACGATATAAACTCTTAATTACTTTAAATCATCGGTATCTTCAATGAGATCGGCCATTTCTTCCCAGTCGTTGTTTGTTGAACGTGTGCGCAGATTTGATATTGTCGGTAATTCGTCGTCAGTATCCGCACCAATATTGATACTTGTTAATGTACCAATGCCGCCGCCTCCATCACCACCACTTTCACTAACCACTTCGTAATCCTTTAATTCAGCCTCTAAATCTTTTTCCCATTGTTCCTCTGTATGTGCGGAAGAAAAAAATAAAAGAAAACCAATGTTTCTATATATTAAAAAAATTTTCAATTCATTCAAATTCGAAAACACATATAATAAAACACTATAAGATTATTATTAAAAATCATTTGAGTTAATAATATAATTATTATTCTAGAAATTTATATACAATAATTAACTCAGTTTTAATAAAATTTAAATAAAATTTAGCAAATACTACTATTTTAATAATACTATTATTTTTATTTAAGTTAAAATAATTCTAAATTAAAATGATCAGTAAAAAGCTAAAATATATAAAAGAAAAGCATTATCTTAATTAAAGATATAAGCAGTAAATATATGCTATGAGATTAGAAAATATAAAAAAATTATTGCATACATATAAATAAATTTTTTATATACAGAATATATATATATATTATATAAAGAATAAGGCATATATATTTAAATATTTAAAATATTCATTACAATTATATTTAAAAACATTGAAATATTTTATAATAATTATAATAATAGAATAGAAATAGTTGATAGTTATATATCAGTGACAGTCAGTCTTAAACGACATATGCTATAGTTAAACATAAAACAGACTTGTTGTGATAAGTAGATACCACTATTGAAAATAAGAAACTCTTTTTTTGTAAATATTTCTTTGCTATACAGTATATTGCATTCTACATTAAAAGTACCCGAATTATTTAATACAACACAAATAAAAAACAATCAATCAGACTCTCATCTCAAAGTAGGATCTAATGAATATACCAATGTCTATTTTTTCTTATCTCATTTTTCGAACATTATAAATTCCTTAAAGTGAAAGCTTTAGTTTCGGAAATAGAAAAAATTTAGATTGGCCCTACCGGTTGTTTACGGATTGTGTAACATCACAAAATTGGATTGTTATAAGATTAGGATTGATAATGTTGAAAGTGAATATTATATATGTATTTATAGAATTGAAACAAAAAATCAATATAATTCATTTTTCTTTTTTACTTGATTTATTATATAGCACTATATGTACATCTTAAACTTAAATTTTATGTCAAGTTTAATTTTTATTTTCTGTCAAACTCATTCTCCTTCGATTATGTAGAAGGATTTATTTATATCTTTTCATCTGTACTGACAGTTAAGTGCTCAAATATTTATTTATAAAGGAAACATTTATTTATAAAAACTAATATACTAATTTGTACATTGTTTGTCAACTGCTGTATAAAAGTCTTAATTTCATATCCGATAAATAAAAAGATGGTACATATATATTTTGTGAATGTAGGTTAGACCACTAATGTTATAGATATTGTATTTATAAGTTTAATACATTAATCACTAATATTTTCTCTTGAGTTCTAACTAAATAAGTAAATAATACTCTTAAATTTCAAAAAATGTTTTGATTAATTTTTATACTTTACAAGAATGCAAAAAAAATTTTGATAGGTTTCCGAAAAGTATTTTTTTAACATGCTTCTGTTAAACCCTTAACCTTTTGAGTTAGTTTCCAAAATGATTAATTTACCTGCCAAATTAAATTAATTTTCTTGAGTAGCACCTAAGCAGAGTCCTTGACAGACACTTATTCTTTTTGGTATACGTATTGTTACTGAAACATAATCTTAAGAAAAGTTATAAAAATTTATTAATAATTTTCATTTTTCCTTTTGGAGAAATATAGTTTAAGTACATATACGAAATCGAATACCAATTGGACCTAAGATAAATTATACTACATTATATATATATACTATATTATATTATACAATATATATTACATTGTGTATATAAGAATATTTTATGTAAATACAAATGTAGAATATATATATATAATATATATATATTATATACATGAATATATTTTACGTATAAAAATATATATTATTTATGTATATAAATATATAATATATACAGATATATTATGATACTGGGATACATACTAATATATTTTATTATATTAACATACGGCATAAAATAATAAATGTACAATATAATGGTAATTAGAAGAATTCAAAATACTTCAACATATGGTATTTATATATTATATACATCTTATAAATTAAATATAATACAAATATATATATCTATATATATGTACATAATGCATATAATAATTACATAATACTATTTCTAAAATATTGTTTATTATAATATATATAAAATATTTAAATATATATATAAATATATATTATATATATATATATATATATAATATATATATATACATGTTTATTTTGCTAAATATATTAGATTTCTCCAAAAATTTCATTGGTCCACCAAAAAGCGAAAGATATCGATTTGAAGGAGTTCTATTTTTAAAACATTCTGAGATGTATGTATAAAGTATCAATAAGTCGTACTAAAAAAATTTCTTAATTACAAATTTAATTTTTTAATTTGATGCTTTATGCGATCAGTTTTGTGGAAAACCTTATATATCTTAAAAAATTTTTTTGTATATCAATGTCCAATTATCTTACAAGTAAATTAAAGAATTTTTTGCTAAAAAATTATCTGTATATCATAATGGTTTAAAAAAAGCACATATTTATTTCATATTACTTACACATCTAGAAAATCTGTACGTTTTTGTCCAAAAGCAGTAAATAGAACGGTTTAGAGAGATAAAAGAACGATAGAAGAAAAAAGTGTACTCAAGTTTATACACTAAACTTTTAAAAAAAATGATCTTTAGGTAGGTAGGTTGGAGTGGCAGCCTTGTATCCCAAAAAGCCCATTTGAGCTCAAATAATGGCCCATTGTGGTACCACAGGAGTGACGTTGGTATGAACATAGATTTAGATCAGTATACATATAACGCCGAACGAAGATAACGACTCCACCATTAGGTAAAGGAAAATCAACCTGACAGTTCTATAAACTTGGCTAAGTCCCTAATATTACAGGATGACAGCTCAGTCAGATCGGTAAGAAAAGGGATCCGAAGATTTTTAGTCTTCTTCTAGCTAAGGAAGAATGATCTTTAATTTACTATAATTTCCGGATCCCTTCAAACACAAAATAATAGGACAATAAATTAAAGGGTTAACAACCGACTTTAGCTATTTGCATGATCCATTTGCGAAATAATATAGGTTTTTTGTTGAAGTTTTTTTCGGCTAAACTATTCTTCGGCAATTTGGAAATAACCGCGTTACATATTTGAAATAAATGTCCAACTTGTACGATATATTTCGCTTCTTCAACCAATTGATAGTCCCCTGCATTCATATCCTTTTGTAAATAAACATCTTTTATATCTATTATATATATATTATATATCTATTATATATATACATATATATTGGTTTTTAAATAAAATAATTCTTTATATGTAAAATAATTCTTTATATGTAAATGAGTTGTATATAAACAATACATGTTATTAAAAATAATTAAAAAATTATTATTATTATCATATTAATACAAAAATATGAATATAAGCAATATGTATGTATTTATGCATATAATTTGTTAAATATTCATAAAAAAATATTTATGAAATATATATAATTATTCGCTTCCACACAAAAAAAAAAAATTAAATTAATAAAATTCGTGCAATCATGGCAAGCAATTAATTTACGTTAGAAAAAAAATATAAAAAAATGTATTTTTTATATAATATTTGTTACATTTTATTTACATAAAAATTGATATGCAGTGATTTAAAAATATAAATTTTTAACAATAAATAAAGAAATATTAATTAAATTATTTTAATTACATAATTTCAGATTTACATTTTTATTGGATAATAGGAAACTTGGAAGAAATGTAATGGAAAATATAATATAATCGTATTTTGTGTGGTGAGTTGGTATTGATATATAACCAAAAATAATTTATATTTATTTTTTCATTTTATTTAATATTCTAAAATTTTGTGAATAGTAAAAAAGCATTTGATTGATTGTAAGTGCTTTGAAAAGTCGCATGTGATTTTCGAACATTTTGGTTATTCATTATACTTCGATATTATAAGTGCTTATAAATGTGTTGAAGCGCGGATGGGGGGATTGATTTTGCCAAAACCGTAAACTCAAATTTTTATCGAATAAATTCTACAAATTATGAACTAATTCTTTGAATTTAGAATAATATAGAAAAAATTCAAATGATCAGGTAACTCTTATCCATTTTCCTTATCTAAAAATAAGTTATAATCCATTATTTGTTAAAAAATTTAAAAAAAAAACCCAATTTTTTTTCTTACATTATTTTAAACCGTATTTAAGCTATCGATTCTTGAAATCAGGTCAAAGAAAAAACTATAAAAACTGCTCCTCTGAACACCGTATTTCGAAATGGTTTACGGTCATGGTCATTTACTATGTTATGGTTCGTGGACCATACATTGTTTATCTTTTGAAGTGTTCATGTGTCAACCATGCTATTATTATAACTTCATAATTCACCGAATGTATTTTGCAAGCCAATGGTAGTGTGAAATTCAAAATTAATTATTTGCTGTAGTCTGAAACAAACTAACCAGTTTTATAGCAAACATACAGATAACATATGTGACATGAATCTAATGGCCTTTTGAATTGATAAAACTGGATTCAATTTAGATTTACGGACCTATTCTGTGCACTTTATAAAATTGCATGAAAAATGCTTTCGACAATTTAAAATATATGCTCTTTTTTACGAACAGTTACGAACAGTTTTATATACAAAACTCTTTACACCATAGTGTGGTGAGAAGCATTAGGTACTTTCTGCTTTATAAAAATCAAAAATTTTATTAAAGAACTTGACAAATTTGTCAAGTGCACAGATTTTATTGCTTAATCGAACATTTGCGGCAGTTATGATTGAAAGGGAGATGTAATCTTCTAGCATGGTTTCCTATAAGCTAAAAGTTTAAATATAGTTTTTATTTATATAATCCTTCTAAAAAAAATTAAAAGTTTCTTTTAATCATTACAATAATAATTACAAAAAAAATTATTAGTAATAGAAATACATAAAAAGTATTCACTCAGAATTG